ACGGGGCCTTAGTCACCGAAAAAAACCCTTTTTGGTGACTTAAGTCACCAACAAAAGCGCTTTTGGTGACTTAAGTCACCAAATGTCACCAAATAATAGTGACTATTACCTTTTTTTTTTTTGTAGTGATTAAGACAATTGGGTCAACACGTGCATATTGTGTGCTAGTTAAGCTAGTGGATTGGTCTCTCCAATCATCATCGACCAATTTGGATCAGTGATTTGGCAAAGCATAGAATAATTTTGTGCACATGGTTGATGGAGATACCAATCCACTAGCTAACTAGCATAGAATAATAACCTTTTTTCATTTCAGTGTAAAGCAAGATGACATTGATAGGTAATTACATGAAATGATAAAACTAAGAGATGTTTAGTCATATACCCATTCTTAGTACTAATGATATGGATAAACCCTATATCATTTAATTTCTATAAACAAACCCAAAAAAAAACCCAAAAAATGACAACTAGCCATATTTAATTTAATTTTGAATATTAAATTACTTTGATGCCCTTTTGAGTGTTTTGGGTTTTTTTTATGTGGTTTTGGGGTTGGGCTTGTTTTAAGAAATCAATGGTAGTTTTGTAATTCATAAGAAGTTAAAAGTCTCTTTGTTATGTTATAAATGGACTTTGGGTGTGTTTCTAAAGTCCATTTCATATAGGGTGTTTTTATAATTTATACATCATATATTGAGTATAATAGTGAATCTCCAGCCCCTAATTAACTTGACCATGTCTGCCACGGTGCGGGAGTAATAAACCTGAGAGAGGATCATTGTGATCCATAAATTGCAACCAATTACAACAAAAAAAAAAACTTGTACAAATCCTCAACACCAGCAAGGTTGATGAAAAGGGATTATTAAGCAAAAGAATAGTTTTAAAAAAAGAACTATTAAAAACATTAAATAAGCAGGAATTATTTATGGCCTTCAACTGCATGCCAATAAAAAATCATGCAACCAGAAATATTGCCATATCCGTTCACTCTTCCTCCTATTCACTCGTTGCCAAAGTTGGAGAATCCGACATTTTTTTCCCTTGTTTCCCACCATCAAAGTGTAATTAGAGTACCCTCTACGTGGAGCACAATGAAGAAAGATCAATTGTTCCACTGAAAATCTAGAATCCAAAATTTTAACAGGTTCTACTAAAAGGAACTAGAGCGAAACTACTAATAGGGTGTTGGTTGGATTGATCCAGGTCTTTGGTGTGCTCCCAAGTGAACCTTGGTTCAAACCCCTGCGGTACCCGTGTGTGTAAGTTTTCCCTTTCCTAGTTTTTAACTTAATTAGAGACAAAAAAAGAGAGAGAGAATAATCCACAAAATTATAAAACCCCTTAGGACTTCCCATATATATATATATATATGATATATCTACACGAATAAATGTTTGCTTTACTAGTTTCCACAGAATTTTCTTATCCTTACAGCACAACTAAAAGTTATCATCACTCTAACTGGATTCTATAGCAACAACCAAACCAACTGATTAGTCTGGCACTTGGAACCTTACCAGCCGAACATATTCACTCGATAAAAGTTCTTCTTTCTTCTTGTTTATTTTATTTATTTTTATTTTTTTGGTGGGTCTAGCAATATTCACTTCACACAATAAAAGTCTACATTGTATATTTGATATTTTTTGTGGGGTTAAGATCATATACTAACTTTAGCCTATCCATGTTGTGCACCGGTTTGTGCCCCTGTACCAAACCCAAAGAGTGACTCCTTGGGATTTGTGGATTGTGATCAGTATAGTGACTCATTTTCACAAAGTTTAGAACTACTTTGACTCATGACAGGAAATTGGTTTGACCTTTTTAGTTATTAAGAGCATCTACAATCACGCTCCTTATTTTTTTAATTAAAATTTAGTTAAAAACACACAAAAGTTATTTTAGGAGCTCTTTATAAAATTTGAACTCCAATCATACTCCCTAGTTTAGAGACTCATAAATACTATAGTTATTTTTGCTTTTGCCGTGAACAGTCTTTGCCAGTTTATGCATACTCCTACAGATGCACATTTTGCTGCTGTCAAACGTGTCCTGCACTATTTGGCTGGTACTCTGACTCACGACATTCATTTCACCTCTGGTGATGTTCATCTGCAAGCCTATTCCGATGCAAACTGGGCAGGTGATGTCAATGATCGTCGTTCCACGACAGGGTATGTTGTCTTTCTCGGCAATAATCCTATCTCTTGGTGTGCTAAGAAGCAGAACACCATCTCTCATTCCTCGATTGAAGCATAATATAAGGCTCTTGCTATCACTGCAACTGAGTTATCCTAGCTCCGCCAACTTCTCTGTGATCTTCATATCTTTCTTGATCGTCCACCTGTTCTTTGGTGTGACAATATTTCAGCTTTAGCCCTTGCTAGAAATCCTGTGTTTCATGCACGCACTAAGCACATTGAGATCGACTTCCACTTTATTCGTGAGCGTATTACTAGGGGTGATATGCTGGTTTCTCATATTCCTAGTAGTAATCAACTGGCTGATATAGTTACTAAAGGCCTGCATACTTCTCAGTTTTCTTATCTTCGAAACAACCTAATGCTTAGTCCCCCAAGCATTAGCTTGAGGGGGGATGTTAGTCTACAACCCAAACCACCAGAAAGAATGTAACTCATGATGCACGTATCTGTTAGGATGGTCACATGTCTGTTAGTTAGGAATGAATGAGTTGGCTAGTTGTTATTGTTGTTAATATGTTTTTAACTTAATTCACTAGTTAGTTAGCTAGAAGAGATATATAAGTCTAATTGTAAACTCTGTAAAGAAGTTAATGAGAAAATCAGTTTCAGAACTTTACTTTCTCTCATGTTCTGTTTCACTTACTCTCTCTCGATACTTCTAGTTTGAGAAGCTTGATCAAGTGTTGAGCCATGGCTTCCATGAAGAAAGCTTTCATGGTATCAGAGCAAGGCTTCATGTGTTGAGCCCAACGGCCACACGTGCTCCCACATCTCACCCAATATGTGTTGTCCATGTGTTAGGAAAGTTCGCCACACGTGCCGGGGAGTGTTGAGAGTATTTGTCTCACATTGAAAAGTTAAGAGACCAAGCCTGGGTTTATAAGGAGTTGGGCTACTCCCCCCATTGGCAATTGATTTTGGGGTGAAACCTCAACTTCCTTCAGTACATATATATTAAGCAGAAGTGGTTCTATTGGCCTTCTTCAATTGCATGCAACGAGATCTTGCCATTTCTTCCAATTCAGGCGTTACCAAATTCAAAAAATCCGACATTCTTGGCCTGGTTCCCGTGAATTTTATTACCCTCTAAGTTGAAACAAACTTTGTCGCTGTCACCCTCTGAGTTGAGATGAGGTTTGTCACCGCCACCCTGCTTGGCACCATGGGAGCCGCCATCCTGATTGTTAGCATTGTGGCCGCCATTCTTCTTGTTGCCAAATTGGGATAATCCGACGTCATCAGCTTTGTTGTTGCTAATCTCATTCCCATGAATGTTGAAAGTCATGCCGGCCCTGGGATCCACAACAGTAGGTTTGGGACTATCAGAATTTTTAGGAGGAGGCTGTGAATCTTCCACAGGCTGGTGAGTTTCCTCACACTTGAAACAACAGCAACAACAAGAAATTACCGCCTTAAAAGAAGAAAATGCCATTAGCTAGGAAAAAGTTTGAAGGCTTAAAACTACTTACTTAGCTAATAGCTAGCTAACTAGCTAGGTTGCTAATTTTTGCCTTGGCCGCTTTAAATCAAACATCATCAACATATGCCCTCGGAGTCTTAGTCTTAGCTTGCCAAGTTATGTACTACATGCCCTCGGAATGTGAATTATGTCCATTTCGTCAACATATAATGCTAATGTGGAACAACCAACCTGGAAAGGTCGTACCCCTCGGCCCACCCAATCTCCAGAAACGTGATTTGGGAGGGAGAGAGAGAACCCAATTGCTAGCAAATAAAAATGATTTCTTAATAAGTTAGTGATAATAGGAATAAATATAGTGCACCTCTAACTAGAGGCTTTATATATGTGTAGCACAAATTAAGAAGAAAGAGTTGTTTCAATCGAAACTAGTGTAGAATCCAAAGCTCGAAGGCAAGTTTTAATATAGGATTGAAAAGGGGAATACCTAATATCTATAATCAAATGTCCCATTCATATATCTTTGATCTATAAAAAATGTCCCAATATTCGTGGTACACCCTTTCACTAGCTAGCTAGTTTGAACACAATCTTTTTCTTTTTACTTTATAATTTTATCCATATATCTCAACAGTTAAATGTTTCAATTTGGATTGCGATACGATTTTCTCTCTAGAACTGAACCGTCATTTGCTTTCGTAGGTTTGGTGCTTAATTGCTTACGTAGGTTTGGTGCTCAATTGCTTACCTAATATGTGGGGTGCTTAAAAGAGAGATTGGATGATGGGTAGTTTAATTATTGTTTTCGAATAGTTTCACTACCTTTGAAGTATTCGATTCTTCTTATAATTTTACTTCCAAACAAGTGGAGCTCGAGCAAATCCAGAATAAATTCAAAAAGAAGAAAATTGAAGGTCCTTAATAATGGGCCAGTTAATTAATGGTTCACGACCAGCAAACAATTAAGACATTACGAAGTTTCTTTAAGAATCTTGTCCTTTTGCCAATGAGTTCCCACCAGTGGTGGTGGATTCCCCCTTCCCCATGACACATATGGAACTGCTGTATTTTATAGTTGATTATTTTCAAAACACAACATAAGCAGTGTTTTTTTATAAAGTGACAGCAATCCCAAACTGACTCTTAATGTAGCTCCCATTAATTTATTAGCATAATATTAATAACACATACATGGTAAGGAGGCCTAGCCAAGGAAGAAGCCTCAGATGATGCATCAGCTCTTATTTTAATGTAGATATTTTAGCACAATACATATTATTACGGCCTTCTTCTTTATGGCCTTCTTCAATTGTATGCATGCAGCGAGAGGTTGCCATTGGTTTGGTTCACCGGTACTCTTCTCTTCCTGCTCAATAGTACTGGTTGCCGAAGTCGTTAAATCCTTTCACTTTGCCCTGGTTTCCCTTGACTTTATTATCCTCAAACCCGAAAATAGCATTGTCTTCGTTGTGGCCGTGCCTATTACCCCCGTTATGCACGTTGCCAAAGTTGTTAAATGCCTGCGTGTCGGCGTGGTTGTCGCTAACTTCATTCCCTTTGAAAGTGAACAGTTTGCGGTTTGGATCAAGACCAGCAGGATATCCGCCTCCGTTGTTGCTTGGTGGTCTGGGTCTATTTGGATTGGGATTGGGATTATAATCATAATTGGGATTGGGATTACAATTATAGTTGGGATTGGGATTGGGATTACAGTTGTAGTTGGGATTGGGATTACAAATATAGTTGGGATTGGGATTACAATAATTATAATTAGGAGGAGGCCGCTGTGGGCGATTACGCTTACAATTGGAGTTGGGATTGGGATTACAATAATTAAAATTAGGAGGAGGCCGCTGTGGGCGATTACGCTTACAATTGTAGTTGGGATTGGGATTACAATTATAGTTGGGATTGGGAGGCCGCTGTGGGCGATTACGCTCCGCATCCGAGACACCGAGAACTAAAGAGCAAATGACCATCGTGGGATATAAGTTGGAGAGGGATAGGCTCAAAAGGCAAGAGCTAGCTTACGAGTTAATTTGCCTTCATTTGTCCACTTATATAGATGATCAAAGTGAAGGGGAGAATATCATTAGCTTGTTTGCCAAGCTACTTATGCCCTCCGAATGTGAATGGTGTTCCTTTGTGCTACAGTTCGATTCTGTCAACGTATAATATAATATATATATTTTTTTCGCGGTTTTCTCTGTTTCGTCGAATATATTTCTTCAGCCTTTTAAAGGAAATAACATAGTCTATCGCCATACTTAATTCTTCTTGTTCATCTTCCAATCCAAGTCACGACCATCCTTTATGCCAACTTTTTCTTCATTGTCTTCCTCCATACTCTGCGTTGCTAATACTATATAAGTCAATTTATATATAAATGATATCAAGATCAGGAGGAAAGTCGTATAAGTCCTTTTTTTTCTTTCTTCTATTGGAACCTCGACGGTATAAGGAGAAATTTATTAAAAAGAATAAGTAAACAACGGGGGGATAACTAACCAAATCCCGCAACAAAACCAATCCAAGAATGGGATCAAACTAAACACACAAAATCAACCAAAGTAAAACATGAAAAAACCCACTAATAAATATGCTGTGGTCATTGACATCCCTAATTAAGACAATTGGGTCAATGCGTGCATATTGTGTGCTAGTTAATCTAGTGGATTGGTCTCTCCAATCATCATCGACCAATTTGGATCAGTGATTTGGCAAAGCATAGAATAATTTTGTGCACATGGTTGATGGAGATACCAATCCACTAGCTAACTAGCATAGAATAATAACCTTTTTTCATTTCAGTGTAAAGCATGATGACATTGATATAATTAATACATTTGCAGTGGATTTGAAATCACTATATGTAAGGAGTCATTTGGAATTTATTTGTTTTTTTCAATTCCTTTTTATTCATATTTTGTCGTAATGTAATTTTACAATTTTATCTTATAATGACATTTAAATCTATCATTCATGAAAAAGAGACGCAAGCGGAGACAAACTTGAGTTAGGATACTCTTTATCAGCTCTTATTTTAGTAGATAGACTTAGTACATATATATTAAGCAGAAGTGATTCTATTGGCCTTCTTCAATTGCATGCAACGAGATCTTGCCATTTCTTCCAATTCAGGCGTTGCCAAATTCAGAAAATCCGACATTCTTGGCCTGGTTCCCGTGTATTTTATTACCCTCTAAGTTGAAACAAACTTTGTCGCTGTCACCCTCTAAGTTGAGATGAGGTTTGTCGCCGCCACCCTGCTTGGCACCATGGGAGCCGCCATCCTGGTTGTTAGCATTGCGGCCGCCATTCTTCTTGTTGCCAAATTGGGATAATCCGACATCATCGGCTTTGTTGTTGCTAATCTCATTCCCATGAATGTTGAAAGTCATGCCGGCCCTGGGATCCACAACAGTAGGTTTGGGACTATCATAATTTTTAGGAGGAGGCTGTGGATCCACAACAGTAGGTTTGGGACTATCATAATTTTTAGGAGGAGGCTGCGGATCTTTCACAGGCTGATGAGTTTCCTCACCCTTGAAACAACAGCAACAACAAGAAATTACCGCCTTAAAAGAAGAAAATGCCATTAGCTAGGAAAAAGTTTGAAGGCTTAAAACTACTTACTTAGCTAATAGCTAGCTAACTAGCTAGGTTGCTAATTTTTGCCTTGGCCGCTTTAAATCAAACATCATCAACATGCTACCCTTATATAGATCATGATCTACTCGTAGTCTTGCTTGCTTGCCAAGTTACGTACTATATGCCCTCGGAATGTGAATTGTGTCCATTTCGTCAACATATAATGCTAATGTGGAACAACCAACCTGGAAAGGTCGTACCCCTCGGCCCACCCAATCTCCAGAACGTGATTAGGGAGGGAGAGAGAGAACCCAATTGCTAGCAAATAAAAATGATTTCTTAATAAGTTAGTGATAATAGGAATAAATATAGTGCACCTCTAACTAGAGGCTTTAAATATGTGTAGCACAAATTAAGAAGAAAGAGTTGTTTCAATCGAAACTAGTGTAGAATCCAAAGCTCGAAGGCAAGTTTTAATATAGGATTGAAAAGGGGAATACCTAATATCTATAATCAAATGTCCCATTCATATATCTTTGATCTATAAAAAATGTCCCAATATTCGTGGTACACCCTTTCACTAGCTAGCTAGTTTGAACACAACCTTTTTCTTTTTACTTTATAATTTTATCCATATATATCAACAGTTAAATGTTTCGATTTGGATTGCGATACGATTTTCTCTCTAGAACTGAACCGTCATTTGCTTACGTAGGTTTGGTGCTCAATTGCTTACCTAATATGTGGGGTGCTTAAAAGAGAGATTGGATGATGGGTAGTTTAATTATTGTTTTCGAATAGTTTCACTACCTTTGAAGTATTCGATTCTTCTTATAATTTTACTTCCAAACAAGTGGAGCTCGAGCAAATCCAGAATAAATTCAAAAAGAAGAAAATTGATGGTCCTTAATAATGGGCCAGTTAATTAATGGTTCACGACCAGCAAACAATTAAGACATTACGAAGTTTCTTTAAGAATCTTGTCCTTTTGCCAATGAGTTCCCACCAGTGGTGGTGGATTCCCCCTTCCCCATGACACCCAAGATCGGACCCAGTGAAGTTTCTTTTCTCAAATGTAATTTTGAAAATAAAAGAATATTATCCTTTTCAAATTAGGCTTATGTTATTTTGTTATGAATGAACAGCCTACGGAGGAAAAATATACGAAAGATTAATATTGGACATCTAAAAGGGATCTCGCTAAGTTTGAGAAAAATATTGGTGGCATGTTTGATGGGTTTTCTTAAATAAAACAATTAGTACCAACGAAAACAATTAGGTAATCTTCCTTCCTACTTTTTATGAAATTGAAAATTTCGGAAACAAACAATTTCCAGAAACAGTCAATTCCAGAGTTTTTCAGTAAGCTCAAACAGAGCCAGAGGGTAACAAGTTAACAACCTTTGCAGATAGCAATGGGGTCTAGCCTCGTAGCTAGAAAAGGGTCTAGACTTACAGTGGTCTCATATTCGAACCCTTATAACACCTTATAGCAATGTGTGTGCGGAGGGACGAAGTCATGAGTTTATGTGTGGAGCCCTGCGGCGGGAGGGGACAGGGAAATATAATTAAATAATACATTTAAAAAATTCCGATCTTTTAATCCTGGCAATATATGGAAAGAAAATAAAAAGCACAAAAAAAATGTTTATTCAATTTGGTATCAAAATAGTACTAATCCTTCTTTCAATTCTCGAAATTCAATGCTAAACTTTTCTACAATTTCCTTTTCGATGTACATAATTAAAGAGTATGTGAGAAATTCGTCTTCCCTCTTGTTACAAAACCTATTTTTACCACATGCATAACCAAAAATGATCGCTTTGCACTTGCAGTAGAAACAAGAAGAGTAAGCATAACCGCAACCAGTACTCTATAAACTAGTGGATATGTTGTTGATCTTCTAGTCCTTACCATATGATGTAAGATAAATCATGGGTTTGTCCCTACGAATGAAATTTGGAAAAGGGAAAAAAATTCAAAATAAAAAAATTGGGCTTCAAATATGGAAATCATGCTTGAGCATTGCGTATGTTTATGTAGAGCTTGTAGGGCTCGTTTTAAATTAAGAGAGACGGCCAGCGGCCCACTACTAACAACACTGATATTGTCCCCAACTTAACCACCTACAAAGCCCAGTAGGTTTGGGGTTTTATTACAAAAGGCCTCAGTATTATTAGTAGTAGAACCATTCATTATATTTTGTATTTTATTTAGTCGAGTTTTCGATGTGGGACTCAAATTCTTCAACAATTGGTCCTACTCTTGGTGAGAGGCTAAGGCTTCCCAAGTTGCAGCCTATATCAACAGAAGGCTTGGACTTGGGTTCACAGGGAAGGCCAGCTGGTGCGTCAAAGGCTGAGGAGAAGAAGGTGGAAAAAACAAAGTTTGATAAAGCTGCAAAGATCAAGGTAATCAAGGAAGTGAGGACCTTTACCAGTCTGGGATTGAAGGAGGCTAAAGATCTCGTTGAAAAGGTATCATGTGTCCTTAAACAATGGGTTACCAAAGAGGAAGCAAATGACATAATTGAGAAAATATAAAGGCTGCTGGAGGAGTTGCTGTTATGGAGTAGTAGTATTCTGGAGTCGTTTCACAATGTTCATTCCTGTTGCTGAAATGATTTGCATTGTTGTTTCTGCTCAAACAGAGGTTTCATGATCTTGGAAATTCTTTGCAATTTCTAAAATATGGATTTTGTATTTTGGATGGATTAGCATTAGAATTTAGCCATTTTCCATATAGATATGAAGAAATAATCGTGTTTGATCTGTTCTGCAAGGTTTAAAACTTACGAATATTATGACTTGAATTGTGTATGTTTATGTAGAGCTTGAGGCGACGACAGTTTTCATCCAAACCAAGTGCGGGTCGGATTTAAAATGAATTTTCTTAAAAATTAATTTGAAACTACAGGTATTTAAAGCCATTTAAAGTAACTTTACTCATAAGTAAATGTTTTGTGTGCTTTGGGGTGAAATGTAATCTCACCTACTCATAATGATTTTAATTTTCAAAATCACTACGAGGTTGCAGAAGTAGGCCGGCTGGCAACCGGATGCATGAGTGGCAGATTAAGTAACAAGCTTATTGGTTTCACCTGGATTCGTCATTGTCTCGCTGATTGGTTTTTATATTGATCATCAGATTCTTCACATATTATAATTTATATTTTATCTTCTTGGAATAATATACTACAATACGGCCGTAGTGGCCTTTCTTGTTGGAGGATCTTTTTAACTTCTTTGATTCTTGGCAATACATATACGAGCAATATAATATTAATTAACTGCTTAGCCAATTGTATTATGCAAGTTCGAAAAATTCCGTCTGATATGATGAGTTCAACAAAACTAATCCAGAACAAATTCATCACTAAGGACAATGA